CCAGGCCGGGGTGTACATGCTATGGACACCCAATCATCTGATTTGGTGCAGGTTGTGTCTAAGTTGGTCTCGGCCATCGATCGTACTGGGATGGTTCCAGGGAAAGGACAACAACAGGTAATGCGTTGCCAGTGGCGCGAGAGCTCCCACCATACTATAGAAGACTGTCAGGCGATGAGGGAGGCGACTACTCCCTAGGAGCAGTTGGACTTCATCGGTAATGTCAGGCATTTCGACCCCTACATCAACACCTACAACGAGGGGTGGTGCCAACATCCCAACTTCTCCTGGAGTGGAAATAATCCTAAGCCACCAGTCTCCCAGAGACCTCCTGGCTTCTAGAGACCGCCATACTAGCCTAGGCAGGGGCAATTCCAGCAGCAGTCTCTCCTTCAGCCACGAGGGACCTACCAGCGGTCACCATGGAGGAAACCGCACGACGCGGAAGGAACTACAGTCGGCCTTCTACTGACCCTCCCTCTTCAAAGATGCAGATACCTTCGCACGACAGTGCGATCGCTGCCAGAGGTCAGGTAATATTTCTTTCTGGGATGAGATGCCCGAACATATATTTGTCGTTTGTGAAATTTTTGATGTTTTGGGCATCGATTTCATGGGCCCGTTCCTTCTATCTTTCGGTAACTTGTACATATTGGTTGCGGTAGACTACGTCTCAAGGTGGGCAGAAGCTCAAGCCATGCTCACCGTTGAAGCCAGGCGAGTCTGCTCATTTATTAAACAGCTGTTCTCCCGGTTCGGGACACCTCGAGCCATCATATATAAGTGATAGAGGCACCCATTTTCAAGGGAAATTTGCTAAACTCCTCTCTCACCATGGTGTTAAGCATCAGGTGTCGGTAGCTTACTATCCCCAGACGAATGGTCAAGTCGAGCTGACGAACCAGGAACTTAAAAGATGGTGGATCACTCCCGAAAGGATTGGTCCACTAAGCTCGATGATGCTCTCTGGGCATACAAGACAGCCTACAAGACCCCGATTGGTACTTCACCATATCGACTTGTCTATGGAAAGGCTTGTCATTTTCCGGTTGAGCTAGAGCACAAGGCCTTCTGGGCCCTTAAGCTGCTGAATCTGGATTTGAGTGATGCAGGTATTGAACGTAAGTGGCAGCTGATGGAGTTGGAGGAATGGCGTTACCACGCCTATGAGAATACCCGGCTCTACAAGGATCGACCCAATCATCTCCACGATGCTCGGTTGAAGGGCTAGAAGGAGTTTCAGGTCGGTGATCATGTTTTGCGTTACCACGCCTATGAGAATACCCGGCTCTACAAGGAGCGACCCAATCATCTCCACGATGCTCGGTTGAAGGGCTAGAATGAATTTCAGTTCGGTGATCATGTTTTACGTTATAATGCATGCCTGAAACTCTTTCTGGGCAAGCTGCGATCGAGGTGGTCGGGACCATTCACCCAAGTATTCCAGCATGGTGCGGTAGAGATCAGCAATGCTCAAATAGAGTCGTTTAAGGTGAACGGCCATCTGGGAGGTGAAGTGGAGCATGCAGAGCTGCTGATCAAATTCGAGGACCCTTAGTTCCTCCATCTGCGTCCATCTAAAATACGGTAAAGAAGCGCTCGTGGGGAGACAACCCCACCTCGGTTTGTATTTCTTTTCCCTTGGTGTCGTGTCGTGTGTGTCGAAGCTCCCTCCCGTCTCATTTTGGTGAAAAATCGTCCAAACCGGGGCTGCTGGAATGTTGCACGACCGGAATAGGGTAATGCACAACATTGCATTTAATATTCTTGACTGTGTGTGGCCCCGCTGAATTCCGCACGGGTTGTCTGGCATGTCGCATGGCCGTGCGTAATCCAACCTTGACCGTGCGTGGCCTCCCAGAAAAATCACAAATCACAATGAAAATCCATGTAAACATTACCATAAAAATCACAAATCACAATGAAAAGTAATATAAAACAAACTTACGAATTAACGTTAACAACAAAAATAAAAAAATGAAAGGTGCACAACTGAAATTTGAAGAAGGAGAGGAGTGAAGGTTTGAGTTTTTCGGTGCTGCCTTTTATATGCAAAATTTACACTGAAAACTGCAGGGGGGACGGTTTTAGTCTGGCATGCAACCCCCACCCCTGCAACCTCCAGCATGCCGACATGTCGGATGTCGGGGGAATGGGGACGAGGCACAAACCGCTGGGGGAGGGGGGTGTGTGGTTTGTGCATTGACTTGATAAACCGCTTGCTTGAGGGGGCGGTTTCTGTTGCCGACACAGAACCGCACCCCGAGCATGCGGTTTGTGCTAGGGAAGTCATGGGAACCGCTTCTTCCAAGAGCGTTTTCCCCAAATAATAGAAACTGTTGCCCCAGCATGCGTTTCCATGAGAAACCGCCCCTTTGTAGTGCGGTTTTCTCTATAATCGCCCTTCCGTGGTGTGGTTTTTAATTAAGGGTGGTAGATTTAGAATTTTTTCGATTTGGGTGATAGTTTTGTAAAAAAAAATTTAAACCGTGTTAGTTTTAGATTATTTCCAGAATATGCAATGCGGCAGGAGTAAAATGAAGAAAGTTAAAAGGAAAAGAAAAAAAAGGGAGTGGGTGAAAGGGGAAGGTGGTCGGGCGGGGGATAAAGTGGGGACAGCCCTTGAACCCCATGCGCAATTAAGGAAGCGGTCCTGATCCCTTCTCCCTTTCCCTCTCACACTCTCAGTCGTTTTTGTTCCTTCTCATCTCCTACTTGGTGTGAGCCATCTCATATACTTGTCTGCCTATTAATTCGTCAAACATTCTTGTCTTCCATCCACACTTGAGGGTTCGTGAGTCTTCATATTCTTTTTTCCACCTATCCAGCTCTAGCTCACTGTATCCTCTCCTTCATTTACTAGTTGGCAACAGGTACGTAGTAGGCCTACTTACGACTTCCCCCAACCTGATTTTGCACGTACGTAACGTTAGTACGGCCTTAGGTAAATTCATTCATTCATTCATGTGATAGAATCACAGTGCAGGGAGGTGTGGCGTTTAAGTCCATTTTTAGGTTGCCGGCGGCCGGCGGGGTATGTATAAATATAATATCTATCAGTATGCACACTGGATCGTTTTTCTTGTGTGTTTGGCTCGATCTATCATCACATCACCAGTGTCTCTGTGGGGAACGGAATTGTTCCAATTAATTAAGTATATCTATAAAAAAAAAAGGTAAGCCTTCCATGTCATGGCTGGTAGAGGCAATACCATTCATATATATACATCTCTGTCAATACCGTGAGAGTGAGAGATTGGCGTTGGAGTCGAGCTAGTCCTCACCAGTTGGAAAGAAAAGCTCACCCGATTGAGCACTAGTATTGTCAATTGTGTGTGTCAGGCGGCCTGCTGGTGCGAAATCCTCAGTCGATACTTGGTCTCCATCTCTTGTTACTCTACTATATATATATATATATAATAGAACGTAACTAAGCATCAGTAGTAGCTAGTCACGCGATCAACTCAAGCAAGCTGAGGAGCAAATGGAAGGAATGATATGGATGGACGTGGCTAGGGTGGGTTGTGCCATCCAAATTCTGGACAAAGAGACAAGAGCGTCAGAAGCAGCAGCAGAGGCGAGGCAAGGCAAGGCAGGCTGCAGAATCGGACAAAATCACTCTGCACCAAGCTGCAGCCCGCGTTCCCAATACCAACTTTACAACATCCACGTCTCTTCTTTTCTTTCTCTCTCTCTCTCTCTCTCTCTCTCTCTCTCTCTCTCTCTCTCTCTCTCACTCAGTTGAAGGTTGCCCTGTATTGCAATAAGTTAACCAGAGAGAGAGAGAGCTTCTTCTTTCTCACCTCCCTCCCTTTTGTTTATCCATTTCCAGAAATATATATATATGGGTTTTTTCTGTATCCCTTTTGTTCACCTTTTCGGTACACTTTTGTTTGGGATGAACGCATGCCCAGAACCCAGGGCCCCCTCCCTTTTTTTCGGGTTTTCTTACTGCTTCTCCCTTCCCTTCCCTTCCCTTCCCTTCCTTTCCTCCTTCCTTGTCAGCAGGCTGTTGATTATATATTTTAGACAAGTAATTTTAATCCCGCACGTTCTCGAAACCCAAACTGATGAGACCACGTTTTATGAAGGAATTAAGCTCATCAAATTAACCCAACACAAAGATTATTTAATTAATTGATTAGTTGTGAAAAAGCTTATTTTGTTTGTTTATGCTTTTTTTTCCTTCTTCTCCCAAGTACTCTACTCCGCTAGGGTTTTGTGTTTTTTGGGGTGCCTTGATTTATTCATTAGTATTGTTATTAATTGTTCTTCTTCTCTTGATTTCGGTTGGGATGATGATGACGATGGTTAACAGTGATTATTAATTAACATTATAGTAATGGGGGAACCCCGTTCTTGATGCATCATTTCAGACGGGGCCCGACCAGGCCACACTAACACTGCTTGAATAGAATAGAATAGAATAGAATAGAATAGAATAGACAACCCATCATTATTATATATTTGCTCAACAAACAAACCCCACAGTCCACACTCCACACCCAACACCATACCATTCCATTCCATTCCATTCCCCCAAACACGCCATAAATAAATAATTAGCCTCTATTCCCCCACCCTAGCTAGCTAGCTACTTACTTATTTCACTCACCCTTACTTAGTACTTACTATCTCCATCTACACCTTCGTTCCTTCCTTACAACTTAACTCCCTCCTTGATCTCTCACAGTTTCTTCCTTCATCTATCTCATCTTCGATCCTCACCTCAGTTTTGTGCTATCTCCACCTTTTCACTTCCATTGATCTTAATTTCTCATTCATTTTGACACATTTACTACGTACTGGAGAAGACAAGAGAAGAGTGGTCGTTACTGATCACTACCAACGTAACTATTGATAATCATCATAGCCAGTCAGTACTGCCAGACAGCCTCGGTATCTAATCTATAATGGTGGTGGTGATGCAGCAGCTGAATTAATCAACGTACGCAGATCAGTTGGTTTGGCGGAGAGGTTAATATATATTTATTGCAACGATGGAGGAGGCGACGTCAAGCAGTGTGCCGCCGGGGTTCCGCTTCCACCCGACGGATGCGGAGCTGGTGGGATATTACCTGCGCAAGAAAGTGGCATCCCACAAGATTGATCTCAACGTCATCCGCGACATCGATCTATACACCATCCAACCCTGGGATCTCCAAGGCAACTCTCTCTCTCTCTCTCTACCACTCTTCAGCTTTCATTTTAACTAGGACTCATCTTCTTTGTTTTCCCTCCTCCTTTCTTCTCTCTCTTTTCACGGATGTTTCTCAAATTTTAGTTTACCCACTATTATGGTTCGCACTTAAATCGCTTACCATATATATGATTTTACTGCCTTACATTATTATGCTTCTCTCCCAATTTTTTCATGATTAATTTCACTTTTACTCTTACATTTGTAATTCATTTATCAACCAATTTAATTTCAGTCTTGGATCTGATTTCCAAAACTTTGGTTACTAACTAACAGAGGAGGATATTATTTTTCTCTATTTTATTCCACTCAGTATTGAATTCAATTTTCCTCTATTCACTCTCCATTTAATCTTCAACTTTTCAATGTGTATTACGGAATTTATTTGAAAATATTTTCCTGACTTTTTCAAGTGTTAGCTAGCTAGCTAGGATCAATTGCTCCTATATAGAAACTAATTGAAATGTATATATGTTTAATTCAAAACCAACATTAGTTATATCAATAACGTTGTTGAGGGTATAAATTAAATGGTCAGTGAGGTGCAGAATTGGATATGAGGAGCAACACGAGTGGTACTTCTTCAGCCACAAAGACAAAAAGTACCCTACTGGGACTAGGACTAACAGAGCTACAATTGCTGGGTTCTGGAAAGCAACTGGGCGAGACAAAGCAATTTATGACAAAGCAAAGTTGATTGGGATGAGGAAAACCCTTGTTTTCTACAAAGGAAGAGCACCCAACGGCCAAAAAACTGATTGGATCATGCACGAGTACCGCCTTGAATCTCACCATAATGCTCCTCCCCAGGCAAGTATATTCTTACACATGTTAATCTTTTGTTGATATAACATCTATTAATTTCACCCAAGGAATTAAAATAGATTGATATTATTTCTCATCATCAAAACCTGCCCTGGTATTGAGTTTAGAAAAGTAATTTGACTTTTATGCGATGTAGCAATTACTATCACCCTCTGCCTTTAACAATTGAAGAGGTTTTGTTAAAGCTAGGAGCTATATAGATAGTTAGGCGCATTATTATCCATTGATCAATTCATCGTGTCCCACAAGTTTACCTTGGTTTCTTACCCTCTTTTCTCTTAGCCATAGAGGGGACAAGACAATTAAAAGAATCTCGTTCGTGAAATTGTGGATTAACAAACATTCAAGTGGGGTTTAGTTACTGCTAATTATGAAAGTCATGATAAAAAAAAGGGGAATCAAGTTTAATTTCTTTCCTACCGCTCCATTTTTTGCATGTCTACTTCCGACTTTGCCGTGCTCCCTAAATGTCGTCTTCGCGTTCAGAGTACCCACCAAAGTTCTGTTAGTCAAAAGTTACAAGTGAATGTAAAGGTACAAACGCATGAAAGGGTTGCCTTTCCTTGTTTGCGATATGTTGAATTGGATTTTTAGTCAAAAGCAATATTCCAATTCTCTTCTCTCCTTTGTAGCATGCATTGGAATTTCAGTACTGTCTTTCCGGCACCACTACTGCTGCTGCTGCTACTTGCGCTTCCACCTCTCTTTAACCAACAAAAAGAGAAAGCGATCTAGCTTTTCAACCTCGCCTTGGGTCTCCTTTTTGTTCTTGCCGGCCACGAATTGCCTCTCCTTTTCTCCTCCTCCTTCAACCAAAAAGACACGCATGTTGCCTTAAAGTAGCTATAGCTTAAACACAAGTTATGGAAGTCAATTGCGATAGCAATTAACTACTTTGTTAATGTTTTTCTTACTTATTCTAACTTACAGATAATTAAGAACAACATTAAAGACAAGGGAGAAAATACAGAAGTCGTGCATAACTTGACATGGCGTATCTGTGGTCCTTTTCAAAAAATAAAAAATAATAATAATAATAATTGTATATGTGGTCCATGGTTGTCACGCCGGCCGGCGTGCCATCGGTTGTACCTGGTTCAACCGATATCGGTCATAAAATCGGCGTGACACCACCGATATGACCGGCATGATCGATATACGAATCTCTAAGTAAAATGACCTTATTTTGGTGAATTTAATTGTTAAAAATAATTTTATTATTTATTTTATGAGTATAAAGGTTAAATATTGATGTTATTTTTTTGATTCAAGTATAAAGTTTAGGTATTGACATTAAATGCCATGTTTAAATGTGAGTATTTATAATTTTATTTGTAATATTGACCGGCATGAACCGACAAAAACCGATATGTGCCACCGGTAGAACCATTCCACTTGCTAAATCGGCATACTGGCATAAACCGGTTTGACAACCTTGATGCGGTCCTTGCTTAAATGAAAAGAGCAAAATTATTATATTCCCGTGAATGGATGGCTTATGGTACATTTACTTATACTAAACCTCAAATAACTTTACTGAGTTGCAATTTGGTAAGAATTTTCGATTTTGTAAAGTGATATAAATTTATAATCGAATATCTCTCAATAACTTGTCTTAATGAAACCAATTGCTTCTTAACAAACACAGCGCCTAGCTAATTAGCTTGTGTAGATTGACTGCAATAACATAGCCTATGAGGTCGACTGAAAAGTTGATCCAGTCAACTAGGATGTCCATCAGGTCAATTTCAGCTTCTCCAGAAATGTTAATGGTTAGTTTTATAGAAATTTATCACGCTCTCGATAGAAATTTGGAAGAAGACATTGCATACTCCGGTTTTGCGAAGCATTAACAAATCATAATGAGAAGAATTAATATAAAATAAAGGTTTGTATTGGATTTTTTTTTATATACTAAGAATTCAATAAAGATGTTCATTCGATAAAAGAATTCGATTATGGTTTAAAGATTAGTGTAGGTAGGGTATAGGGTTCAATGGATTCAGAGGTTCAAGTTTCAGGAGTTACAGGTTAAGGCTTTTAGGGTTTATCATCTTAAGGTATATGATCAAGGGGTGCTAAAATTAGGATTATTGATCAGGGTTTAAAGTTTGGAGGTCTAATTTGTAACTTTTCGATTTCATTCTCCTTTACTCTATGTCATCCTCTCTAGTTGAACTTCTCAAATGATCCTAAGATTCATGTATTTGAAATGCAAACATCTAAAATAGGAAACTTTTTGGTTTGCATATATGTTTCTATGTAATTTCAAGATACATGATTTTCAATAATATTCTTTACATTGTGCAAAAAATAATTGGTAAAAAAAAAATAAGTCCACAAACTCCCTCCTGGTCCAACTTATTTCTCGTAATTAACTAGGTTGCCCTACTTAAAGCAAAATAAAATCTCCAGACCAAAAGGAGCAGATCAGGTGATTAATCTTGTGGTCAATAATCTTTCATAATCTGCCACATCAGCGCCACATCACCATACACTGAAGGCCCATAACCATTCCGCCTATAAATTTTAAAGAGCTATATCTCTTTCGTTTTAAGTCGCAATTTAATTTTTTTTGCATGGATAAATTGTCCTCTTCAAAATGATATCCACTTTGAAATGTTTTTGGAACCAAAACTTTTTTAGACATTTAGTACTAGCCTATACCATGGTTGTACTGTTTGGTACTACATGAGATCATACCACGTGGTATGGAAGTGTACCATGGTGGTATGAACCAAAAATACTGTAGGATGGTTGAAATACATTATAGTAGGAATATACGAATTGTCACTGACCAAATTCATCATTGTGTATCACTAATTACCACCTCTATATCAGGGTGGTGTGGAGTGGTACGTTATAGTCCTGTATTTTCTTTTATAAATGTGTGGATCCAATTGATCAAAATGATTTCGTTCCATCTGGGCATAAATTTTAGAATTCGAGTAAAAAAAGGTGGTACAAGGTGATACGAAGGTAGTAATGTGTAGTATGAGTGGTATAAAAATTTTTGTCGAAATATATTGAAAATGTGTCTCATTTTGTAGATCACACCAAACGCGTCCATCTGTGCAAAAAAAAAAAATTTGAAATCCAAGTTAGAACGAAAAATATAAGAGCCGATTTTAGAAAAATATGTAAAATAAAAAAGTTATTAAATCTCACCCCTTAGATCCGAATTTTATGGGACCCACTCAAATCCATACGTCTAGATTTTGTTAAAGAAGGGTGAATAACCAAGGTTAAACACTCGTAGATACCAAATACCCTCTAATCAAGATTATACTGAATAAATAGTAAGTTACGAGACATTATTTTGACTACCAAAATGAGAAAGTGAACTTTAAGGACCTGTTTGGAGAACATGATTTAGTGTGTGAATTCACTAAATTCGTTGATTTAATAGAACGTTATATATATATTTTTTATTGTGGATTTTAATTTAGAGATTAGTCATACATTTATTTAAAATCTCTAAAATCTTCTGAGTTAGTGGGTGAATTGAATATCTCATAATCAGATAGATTTTAGAGATTAGTGCATGGATTCACTAAATTCCTCTGAGTTAAATGAATGATAAAACACGAGGGATTAGAAAGAAATCGTAAATTGGGCGAACATTGGTAATTAAGCTCTTAGTATGTCTTACTGTCTTGTGCTATATGTCTGTAGGAAGAAGGATGGGTGGTATGCCGGGCATTCAAGAAGAGGATCACCAACGGCTGCCACAACAATAAGAGCATTATTCAAGCTGGGTGGGACTCTACCTCCTTCTACGATGAATCCACCTCATCAGCCGTCCATCCGAATATTGAGCATTACACCTCGCCGCAGCCGGTGCCTCACCATCCTCTCCACCGCCACCGCCATCGCCATCGCCATCGCATGTTCTTGGCAGCAGGACAAGGCAACAGTAGCTTCTTCTGCAAGCAAGAAGAGATCGTCAACAACGACCAATCAGAAAATAACAACAACCTAATTATTAGCAGTAGTAGTAACGCTTTCCTGACTTCCACCGAAAGCTTCTTACCCGATCTTCCTCAACTGGAGAGCCCGCAGCTTGCCGCCTCACCACCGCCGGCTGACAACAAAGGCCCAAACAGTAGCAGTTATTGCAATGATAATGGCAATAGTGGAAATTATACTAGTAACTACAGTAACAATAATGACGACGGCGGCCAGCTGGAAGAGCAGGTGCTAGTGATGGAAAACAGCAACAGCGGCGGCAAAGTGACGGATTGGCGGGCGCTTGACAAGTTCGTTGCCTCTCAGTTGATGAGCCAAGAGGAGAGATATGATATTGATCATCATGAAGAGCAAACTGCTGACGCCGGTTTCGACTTGCCGCCGTTGCAAAGTGGGAAGGAACAAGGCAATAAGTTTGGGATGAGCAGTGGGTTCTTGACCTCCTCCTCGGATTGTGATTTTGGGATATGCATATTTGAGAAATGAAGCGTATTATTCATTAGGGTTTGGTATATGTGGGAGCTCTTATAAGTGTTTTTTTTTTTTTTGGGTTTCTTCTAAGTATTATTGATGTGACTTTTGTATAAAGGCTATATATGTGTGTTAAATTTGTTTGTGATGGTAATACACCATTGATTCTACAATATGAATAAAATGTTTAAAATAAAGTTTTTTAGATTATTGTTGGATTCCAGATATCAAACATAAATTACCACTACTAACCTCTTGGTGTTAAATAAATGGCAAAATACACTTGTATAGTCACACTTTTCGAATTTGTGATAATTATAGATAATTTTAGAGAAATACACAAAATAGTCAATTTCGTCTAATTATTTAATGATGTCATGTAATAGACTGGATGGACTAAAGAAAAGGCTGACCTAACGACTTTTCATCAGTAACAGTTCCATGTGAATGAATAAAATGAATTAAAAATAAAAAAAAGTAAATAAATAATCCTCTCTCCTCCCAACCTCACCTCTCTCTCATCGCCCTCTTCATCACCTCTCTCTTCCCTAACTTCTTCCTCTTGATTTCTACAGCGGCCCAACTCCTCTCTTCTTCGGCCCTTGTGTCTTTTCTCTCGTGTGTCTCCTACAAACGGAATGAAGACAAAGAAATTTGATATGTTCTCCTTCTGCTTCCATTTTTCCAACCTCACTCTCTCTCTCTCTCTCTCTCTCCTTTCTAGAAATGATCATGTCAATCCGTTAGTTAAGAGAGGACTTTAGTAGGGAAAAAATTAGGGGAGCTTTCTCCTCTCTGCTTCGACTATGGAGCACGATTGGTGGATTGCTGATCACAATGATGACGACAATCATCTCACGATGCTTAAGGAATCAGAGTTAGACATAGGGCTGGAAGAATAGTAATGTGTTACGTCCCTCTCCCATGAAGAAGGATTGGATAACGAGTTTGTAGATTACTCGACATTCTCCTCCCATCGCCAAAAGTGCGACCAAATACCTAGATATGGCTTGTGTGCCATGGAGGATTGATGTTCTAGTAGAAGTAATGGTAAAAGGAAGTCCAGGTTTGGCAGAGAACGACATGCTTGTTCTCGATATAGCAAAGCGCATGCGACTGTCCAGAATGTCGTCTGGCGATTTAAACTTCCTTCATTGGACGAATTGGAGATTGAGGGGTTGGGAAACAACGTATCCCTGCTGATTGCCAACAAAATGAATGCCTGGGCTGTCACCACCTCTCAATCGGCTGAAATTGGAGAAGATATACCCTTTCATGGGCAAAATTCCAAGTGTGTGGATTTTGATTTTCTTTCCAGTGACAGAAAAGACGATAAGCACAAGCATGCACAATCATGTTAAATAATGCCTCTATCATTAAATTGAACAATACCCAATGACAATCATCCAATACACATAAAAGAAAACTACATGGTAGAGTTAGGGTTTCATAACACCCAAGTAGGAGGTCTATTCCATGCTAGAAGTGGGAAAAACAAAAGGGAAAGGGATGGAAACCATCTTGGAGGATGCTCCCCGTCTTCTTTGGCCTTAAGTTGAGCTTTCCTTGGAGGAAATCTTCCCAAAATCTGCCTTGAAGCTAAACCTAACCTTCTTCTTCCTTTGGTTCGTGTTTCTCTCACTAGAATGTTGAAGAAGGCTTCTCCCACACCAATGGTCTCTCCCCTCTCTCCTCCTTTTAGCTCATCATTTAAACCCGAGACGAGCTGAGTTTTCGAGTGTGAACCATGAAACGTGTCCATGGACTTCAGGCGTGCACCAAAAAGCGTCGCATCATTCACTTCTGTTCATGGTCAACTTCCCTTGTTCACGGTCTTAGTGACTGTGAACTCCCCTTGCGTTAGTAACCTCCACTTTGGCTCTTTACGCCTCGCGATTCACGGTCCATGTCTCTTCTTCACGGTCATGCAAGAGCGTGAACTTCATTGGTTAGCCGTGAACTGGCTTTTTTTCGCCTCTTCTCCCGTTTTCGATCCTTTTCGCCAATCTTTCGACTCCGAGGCTGGTTTCACCTGTTAAATCCTGAAACACACTAAAAAACAGGAAACCTAGCGTAAAACCAACCTTTTAAGAGTGAATTTGGCACAAACATCTAAGTAAAACGGGGGCAAAATATGTACAATTAAGCTCGAATCATTTTTAATACAACTTGAAGTTGTAGCTTTAACGTTATGGTACAACTTTGGGTTATACCTATACTCTTTTGTAAAATATCTTTATGGTACAAAATAAAGTTGTACATTTATGTTGAAGTTGTACAATAACATAAATGTCAAATTCTCTTATGGTACAACTTCAAGCTGTACTTTAAAGCAATGTAAACGTTTTGGTAATATAGAAGCGTAAAATCGTAAGTTTTTAAGTTTTAAAGCGGCGTTTTAACTACATAAGTTATAAAAACTGAGATCTTGTGTAGAAGTGTTTTAATGACCTAGAAACGTAAAATTATAAATTTTTAAAATTTTAAAACGCGATTTTGACTACATTGCTTTAGCGCATAGTAGAAGTGCTCATTTTCATATCGTGATTTTATCATTAGACCTACCTTTTATTATTAGGCTCCCCTAGCGGAGCATCAACTATGAAAAAAATGCTCAGGCCCAGAAGACACAACACAGATTTACCCGTTCCGCCATAAGTACCTCCATATTCGGCTGATAATTACAAATTATTTGATTAAAAGCACAAGCATAACAACAACTCAACAAGGGACGCGTCATAAACTATTCTTCATTAGATCACATATTGTGAAACATTCGTGTAACACTATTCTACAACTATTATGTAATTACAAAGCTCCCAAATTCATAATTATCTCTTTATTATTTGATTTATTATTTTTAACATAACAATTCGATTTATTATTTGCATTACACTAAAGTTCTGTAGGATAGTTTTTTTTACCATAACAATTTAATCAAATTTGGTTCTTTTCTTAACATGACTTCATTATTAGACCACACAATATGAAAGATTTGTGTAAATATTCTATAAAATTTATGTTATATAGCTCCCAAATTTACAATAAACTCTTTATTATTCGCGTCATAAATTATTCATCATTAGATCATATAATATGAAACATTTGTGTAACACTATTCTACAACTATTATGTAATTACAAATTTCCCAAATTCATAATTATCTCTTTATTATTTTCATAACACTAAGGTTATGTAGGGTAATTATTTTTTACATAATAATTTCAGTTATTATTTGCATTATACTAAGGTTCTGTAGGGTAATTTGTTTTTTATAACAATTTAATCATATTTGATACTTTTCTTAACATGACTTTACTATTAAACCACAAATTACAAAAGATTTGCGTAACACTATTTTACAAAAGTTATGTAATTTAACTCCAAAATTTACCATAAACCCTTTATTATTCGAGGTTGTGTATGGTCGGTGGTTTTTGCATAATAGTTTAATCAAATGTAATAATTTTATTAACTTGTTACGCAATGGCTAATACAATATATAAAGCTTGTGGAGATAGTTATTTTTTATATATAATTTAAATAAATGCTTGGTGTATGTCTTTTGTAATTATTAAGACATGAAATTTATTTCTTAGCTTGTGGAGATAGTTATTTTTTATATATCATTTAAATAAATGCTTGGTGTATGTCTTTTGTAATTATTAAGACATGAAATTTATTTCTTACCGCCCCGAATCACGGGCCAAAAAACTAGTAATAATAATATATTAAGGCAAGTAATGAAAATATTAACAGTGATGTTGAATTGTTGATGCAGCAAGCCAGCAAGCAAAGACCAGACTATCCTGCATCAATTGGAGGCATGGTTGTCATGCCGGTGGCATGCCGGCCGGTTGAACCAGGTCCAACCGGTACCGGTCATGAAACCGGCTGGAATGCCACCGGTATTCTGTCTTAGTCAATACCGGTCAAAGTCGGTCAAAACCGGAAATTCCAGTGGTCCAACCGGTATTTAGCATTCCGGTCTCTTAAGGAAACGCTGTTGTTCTTATTTGGATTGTAAAAAAAATTGAATTGGAATGGTTTCGCCGACTTGCTCACACGCCTCGTTCATTCACCAACAATCCAGTCCACCAAATTCTTCTCTCTGCCTTCTCTTTTTCCTGGTGGCAACCCTAGACCAACATACAAATCCTCGGCGGCGCGGCGCGGCGAGAGAGGCTCTGCAAGGCAGGCACGAGGTACAGGTGAGCTTCTTTCTCATGTTAGGGGTTCTGGTATTGCGAGATTGTTATTGGGTTGATTGATGGAGAAAATTGATTTGAAGTCCGGCTTAATGGTTTAATAATGGAGATTTTTAATGGAATAATGGGATGATGGTTTCGGATTGTTAATGGTGATTATTAATGGAGATTGCCCAAGGCCTTCTCTAGTCTCTGTCGTTTACTGGTTTCTGAACATAGGGGAAGGGAGGAATCAGAGGTTTAACTGAGATGGAGGAATTCAGATTGGTTCTTTTTCTTAGGGGTAATTTAATGCTTTTAGAAGGTATCTATTTTTTTTATATTTTTCAATGTAGATTTTAGAGATATTGTTTTAAAATAAGTTACTTATATTCTTATTCTGAAATTTTATTAAAACCGGCATAGACCGGCGCATGAACTGGTTCTACCACGGTAGAACCATTCCACTTGTAAAACCGGCGTACCGGCATAAACCGGTTTGACAACCTTATTTGGAGGTAATGCCAAACAAAAAAGAAAGACTTTTCAGTTTGGTTTGGAGCAGTGTGCAAATGCTTAACGCGAGCGCCAACCACCGGAAAACACTTAAGCATCTGGATCATAATTGGGAATTGAATTCCATACTAGCAGTCAAAATGTAAAATAGTGGAATTATGATGCACTGCAATCAATCCCAAACCATACCCACATCTCTGTTCATCTTAACAACAGCTGTTGCAAGCAACCGCGAAATGCCATATTAACAAAGGGCAGGAAAAGAAACACGATATGGACCAGTAAGTACTGCCCAATAATCGAAGTAACCACTTAATGACAACAAAGATCCATAAGCCAAAGCAAAACCAGAAAGTAGATCAGAGTTTCATCATCATCTTGGCAGCCTAAGCAGTTCTGAGGATGATGTGAACACCACTGTCCGTATCCACTATGTCACTTATGTCACCAACCTTGAGGGCAAATGTTGCATCTTCAAATGGCTTTTGCATCTGTCCACGCCCAAATGGACCTGCACCCGTAATTTTGGCATACGAATCTATTAGACGATTGCAAACGAATCTACAAACGAAATTGACAGGGCAGTCGACATGTAGAATTCGGAAGGTGTCCTGTTTGTTTCACAGCACCATTGCATGACCACAAAATTGAACTGCACCCTACTGTCTCTTACAAAGAGAAACCTACACATGCAGGTCCTAAACCTTAAAGTATTCGGACCAGTTGCACAGGAAAGCTATAGACAAACAACTAGACTGTTTCCACATGCCCAGGATATATTTGCCTCAGGTAAATGCAGTTAAGTAGAACTTTTGCCCTGAAAGCAGATAGCACATCGTGAATGTTTCTTGACACTACTGTCAAATGATGCTGCCATAACAAAATTAAGAAGTTCATGACCTAGGTTCTGGTTTTACCGAAGCTATCAATTCACTTAATTTCCTTCAGCTGAAATCCAAATCCTCAACGATTTTATGGACAGCGTTTATTTTCAGTAGGAAAACCGAGTCTAAACCATGAGAATGTACAAGGAAAGGAAATAGGGTTCACTAAGGTGCAACTGATGCCAATTCAATGACGCAAGCTCAAAGTATCAGCATCCACGCATAAAACCTAGTCAAGGGGCCGAGATCCCAATTGACAAAAACGTGATGCGCAGTGTCACTAAAAACTAATTCAGGCCATCAGTAAACAGTAAGGAACCATGTTGAAAGCAGGGGGAATTCGATTAGCAGAATTACTGACCTAGATCGCCGCCGCGCTTGGCTGAGCTGCAATCGGAGTGGCGAGAGGCGATGTCCTCGAACTTGGCCTTTCCAGAGAGGATGTCCTCCCGGAACTGCACGAGCTTAGCGATGGCGCTCTCTTTAGTGGTGTTCATGATAACACGGCCTTCCGGATCCTTCCACGAAGCTTTCCGTCGGGAGCCCTCGTGCTTTATCAGTATGTGGGAAGCCCTCACCTGATTCCCGGACGCCATCGGTTTCGATCTCTTCTTCCTCTTTCGATGCGAATCTTCTTCCCCTGGTTTCATTCAACTCGCCAAATAAACCCTCCTCCCGGGCTCAATTGACACGTCAACAGTCCGGAATCCACCATCTATTCTATGGTCGCTTCCTCGTATTGGGCAAACTGCCACTGGGCCTTGATTTTGCTTCAATTGGGCCTTCCTGTGGCCTCATTGGGCCGGCAAATATGGCCCAGCTACATTTGGCCTTCCCCAGCTACTAGGGTTTTTCTGTCTGACTATATATAAGCATCTATAACCCTAATCCGCCATTTCTTATACTCCTCCTTGAGTCGCCGCTGCTTCAGAAACAAACCAGAGGAGCAATGGGACGAGTCATCCGTGCTCAGCGTAAGGGTGCCGGCTCCGTCTTCAAGTCCCACACTCACCACCGCAAGGGACCGGCCCGCTTCCGCTCGCTGGACTTCGGCGAGAGGAATGGCTACCTTAAGGGCGTCGTGACGGAGGTCCTTCACGATCCCGGCAGGGGTGCGCCGCTCGCTAGGGTGACCTTCCGCCATCCTTTCCGCTACCAGAAGCAGAAGGAGCTGTTCGTCGCCGCCGAAGGGATGTACACGGGACAGTTCGTGTACTGCGGTAAGAAGGCCAACCTAATGGTCGGAAACGTATTGCCTCTCAGATCTATCCCAGAGGGAGCAGTCGTTTGCAACGTCGAGCACCACGTTGGTGATCGTGGAGTCTTCGCTAGGTGCTCCGGCGATTATGCCATCGTTATCAGCCACAACCCTGATAATGACACCACTAGGTATGATACCTCTAATCATTGTTCGCCTTTCCTTGAAAGTCCTTTAGCTAATTTTTGTTGAGTAGGATACATATGTTAGGGTTTTGCTAGATGGGGTTTATGGTAGTATCTGGATACTTTTGTACCCTCGTTGAACTTTGATGAAGTCTTGGTTTTGTTCTGGGCTGATAAGGATTTGCACGCTTTTATCTGGTTCGATTTCGTTTTGTTCGAATTGGTTGTGGGTTCGTTAGATTTCAATGTCTAATTTCCTCAACGATGCTTGTTTCGACTCTCAAATTTGCCAGATGTTTATGCATTTGGCCATGTAGTAATCTGTTCTCGTGATATTACCCAGTTGTCAAGTTTTTAAAATATGTATAATCGGACAATCAGTTGTGGCTATGGTTAGGAATTTGTTTTGTTATTGATCTAATGTACTTTGAATTTGTGTCCAAGTGCTGTGAAACTCAAGTCTAGAACTTTGAAATGTTTGTGCTTCGATGATGTCTTTTTAAAGAAGAAGCCTATCAGTATGTTCTCTGAAATGATTGATTATCTTTCCTTCAGGGTCAAGCTTCCATCTGGTGCTAAGAAAATCGTTCCCAGTGGTTGCCGTGCCATGATTGGGCAAGTTGCTGGAGGAGGAAGGACTGAGAAACCTATGCTCAAGGCTGGTAATGCTTATCACAAGTACAGAGTGAAGAGGAACTGCTGGCCTAAGGTGCGTGGTGTGGCTATGAATCCAGTCGAGCATCCTCATGGTGGTGGTAACCATCAACATATTGGTCATGCCAGTACGGTCAGGAGGGACGCTCCACCTGGGCAGAAGGTTGGTCTTATCGCTGCCAGGAGAACTGGTCGTCTCAGGGGTCAGGCTGCTGCTACTGCTTCCAAGGCAGACAAGGCCTAATCTCATCTTTTTTGTTGCATCCTTGGGATTTGTCTTTTCGGAGATTGCTGGTATTTAGATAATTCTGAGAACTGCTTGTTATGTTTTGTAGTCTTTGTTCTGGTAAGACGTTTAATGTGTTGGTTCGTATGGTTATGGTTTTATTCCTTGACGATGGTTTAAGATATACTTCTATGACTTTTTGGTTGGAATCCATTCAATTCAGACTTCTCTAGTTTCATTTCATTACGAGGCATCTTTGAAAGTACAAGGGTCGTTGCAAGTGTTCTACAAAAATCATTGAAGTGTTTGGAAAATATGCATACATGACTCGTATAAAATAATCTGTAGTGTGGTCCTGTGGATTATGGGGCTCTTGAATTTGGTCTACACTCTACAGTAGTAACGAAACGGATGATAAGAGATGAGGCGATTCACCGCAGCCTCTCATTGCCACAAAGTAGCAGCCGTGTCCTTGGTGGTGACTCAATAACTTAGTTATAAACTTAAGCATAACTAGAGAGTGTTAACTGCTCGGTAGTGGTTAAACGGTCTAATCAAAATCGATTATGTGTGCGGTGTCGGTTGTCATTTTCAGGCAATATGCATAACAGGCAACCTTTGATCGCTAATCGAAAAAGAAAACTCGATGCACCGGTAAATAATCACTAGATAAAATAGAAGGGTAAAGGCCTCCCCATTCCCAACCTCAGCGAACCAATCAGACATGCACCACACATTATTACACTCTCATCGCCCCGCTGAAGTTGTCGCCTCCGCCAGTAAGTAGGCGGCGATAGTCGAGATCCCGATCGAAAAAAAAGGAGAGGAGGGTCGCTACCAGTGAAGATGATCGCCAGCCGCTGTCGCCGTCCCTGCCTTGTTCAGCCTCAAAGGTGACAAGAAATGGAAAGATTCGAAGGACTCGAAGCGGTCTCAGTCCCCCCCCCCCCCCCCTCCATTCCTTCGCCTTTGAGATCTAGATGCGCCTGACGCCTCTGTCTCTGGAAGCTCTTTCTCTTACTCCTCTGTCGCCGATTCTAGATTCGCTGCTGGCATGCCCTTCTTCCCCTTCCTCTGACTCTCTGCCTTCCAGACTTGCTTCACCTGACATATTTCTTGCCAATCATCGCCACCTTGCCTTCCTTATACTAATTGTGGATTGAGATGTTGGGAGAGAGAAAGAGGGGGGGGGGGGGGGGGTCCACAATCCTCACACTTCTATTCATTTTTTGTGGGTTTACGGTTTGCCAACTTATCGCACTGATGCTTGCGATTTCGGTGTTGGTTAACCGACAATGTGTATCGGCATCGATGTCGATTGGGAGTTTGGCCATATATCGGTGGCGGCTAACTAACCAGTAGGTTTTGGTTCGAACCAACTATCACCCCTAAGTTCTCACCCCATAATATTAGTCTCTTGATTTCAAGTTGGTCCAAAAAAGGGAGAGATTAATTTATTTTTAAATGATTTTTATCTTTTTTTTTTCAAGTTTCAATTATTTTTGCAAAGATAAAACGAGATCGCAGTAAAAATAAAATTACATTCATTTTCAATATATTTCGAGAATAAAATTTTCGTATGAGGGTATGCTTAGTATTTGAGGGATAGTTTAGTATTTTGTTGGGTTAGGTCGATTAGGGTTAGGCTAAAGCCTATATAATATAATTTCGTCATTCATTTACGAAACAATTAAGAAATAATCAGAATAATTCAATGTATCTTCCCACGCTTAATTTCCTCCCTTATCTCCCTAAATTCGGCCATCGACCTACTTCTTGCTCTTCTTCCCCAAATCTTTGTCCAATACTCTCCCTATATATGTTCTAAATCATATCTTGTTATGATAATATCGTGTGCCAAAATCCACGCCTGCAACAAATTGGTATCAGTGCCTGGGTGATTGGCACCCAAAATTAAAGCCATTTCTAATCCATCAAGGTTTAGGGCATAAGATGAATAGTTCCAGAAATTCTTACAGTCCGTAGAAGGCCAGCGCGAGAATGGTGTGGAGGTTGAGGAGAAGACGAACACAGTGATTGCCCCAGAGGAAGTCTACGTGACGCCTGAGAAGCCTGATTCACTGCCACTCACCGCCATAGAAGAGACGTCGGCCACGCTGCTGGCCATGGACTCCGCAGCAAACATACAATCTCGGCGCTGTTTCAACTGAGGTGCTGCCACCAGCCAGCCATCCAGGCTTGGTTGTGCAGCCACCAGTTACACTGGTAGAGGCCCCTTCTATTATGGAAATAGCGGAAGTAGCAGCCAGCTGCGATGTCGTCGAAGTAACACAATCCATAGCACCAGCAACCCTTGCACGAGTGGTCGCTACGAATCACGAAGCACAAGAGATGAATCAAGGGACGAGGTCTTAGGGGGTGATGCGTTCAGAGGCCTTGATAGGGTCCCCAACGATGTAACCTGTAAATTAGTCTCTCGATCCTTTTACAACCTCGAAGGTACAAGGAAGTCTAGCATTGAACTATATATATTACTAGAATCAATACTCACAGCTACGCCGCAAGACGTGTTTGGCTGAGGGTGTATTTAGCCAATTTGACGTTTAATTGTTCTTCAAGTTCATTGATTTGGTCTTACTTCTCCAATGTTATAATCATACTGTTATTATGTTTGTTCTTTCATCTTTTGTTCTGTTCTCCTTAGCTCTGATTCAAGTTCTATGGTAGTGGGCAAATGCTCAGCAAAAAAGCTCATTCTAAGCATAAAAATATAATTCGATGCGCGTGTTAGAAAAACACATTGATTAAAAAATTTGGTCAACAAAGCACTACCCCTTTGTTAACTATTCACCTTCTTCGTGATAAACAATGCAACAAGAAGACCTAATGAACATTGGTTCATAAGCTGAGGAATGTATATTCATAAGCACTGTAGAGGAGTTACAGGGACAGGAAATTCAGTTCAAATTATGCATCAAACCTGATGGTGTGCTTTAGGCGATGCTACTTTAGGCTGCACACCACCTGCTACTACTAAACACTCAATAGCAAGCCTATACTGTCAAATGGTAATTTGCAATTATCACCCTTAAATTGTGCCCACCACTATCACATCCAAGAGACAACCCATTTGCAGGAACATCTCATTACTTGCAAGGAAGAAATAAATAGATGAATAATTGGTCAATTATAAAGCCTCATCACAGCAGATTGATAGAAGACAAGGCAAGTGGGAAATAATGCATACATGGGCCATGTACTTCTTTATTAGTGTTTAAGCATATCCATTCCAAGCACATGCATGTCTCTGCATGGTGGGGTGAATGAGAACCATGTGTTAATTTAATGTTATGTTTTCTTTATCATCATATATATATGTTGTAAGTATGGGAGAAGGTGGAGTGTCAGACAGTGTAACAGAAACAAAAGAAAGAAAGCACAAAGTGTGTGCGTGTATGCAAGTTCTTTTCTCTTGTGTAATTAAAACAATAGCCAAAAGTGTAAGGCATTGT